AGCCTGTACCCCAGTTCTGTTTGCACAAATAAATAAATCTTAAAAAAAAAAAAAAATGAAGAGATACCCTACTGAATAGGAAAAGTATTTATTCACCACAGGGCTGTTATCTGACAAGGTGCTGTTATCTGACAAGGGGCTGTTATTTAGGATGTACAAAGAGCCCACACAATCAACAAGCAAATAAAACTACCCAATCCAAAAGTGGGCAGAAAAGCTACACAGACAATTCTCCAAAGAAGAAATGTAAATGGTCAGCAGGCCCATAAATAAATGTTCCTCATCAATTGTTACCAAGAAATGCAAATCAAAACCGCAATGAGATCTCACCTCACACCTGTGAGACAGCCCACATTAAAAACAAAAAACAAAAAACACAGAAACAAAAAGTGATGGTGAAGATGTGGGGGGAAAGCCAGTCTCTTACTCTGCTAATGGGAATGTAAACTGGTCTAGCCACTATTGAAAGCTGTGTGGAGGTTCTTCAAAACACTATAAATGAATCTGTTATATGACCCAGCTGTTGCCAAAGAATACAAAAACACTAATTCAAAAGAAAACCTGCACCCCTATATATATTGCAGCACTATTTAAAATAGGCAAGATATGGAAACAACTGAAATTACCCCCAAAGGAAGAATGGATCTAAAAGACACGGCATATTTACATAATACAACTTAGAGATCAAAAAAGATAAACTTGTACTGGCCCTCCCAGGTGGCACAGTGGGTTAAAGCACAGCACTAAGAAGCTTAAGCCACTTCCGCATGAGTTCGATTCCCACCTGCCCCGGAGGTGACCACATGGCGTGGCAGACCTCTCCTGGCCTGCCCGCTGCTCCCCTCAGCAGTGTACTTCGTCGATCTGCCTGTTCTGCTCCCTACTCTGTCCCTGGTGAATCCTCTCACCCTCCGCATCTCTGGCCTGTACCCCAGTTCTGTATTAATAAATAAATAAATCTTTAAAAAAAAAAGATAAACTTATACCATTTGCATCAACATGGATGGAGTTTGAAAGGATGATGTTAAGCAACAAATGTGAGAAAGAAAAAGAAAAGCATCAGATGCTTTTACTAATATGTGGAATATAAAGAAAACAAACAAAAGACCAAAGGCAAACCATATAGATATGAGGCATTCATGAAGGAGGGGGTGAAGAGAGGGAAGGTGGGACAGGGGTGGGGAGCCAAGTACATCTATCAAATACATTATCAAGATTTTTACAGAAACCATGACCAAAAGAGTAACTATGAATTTAAGTTTCATTTTCAATTCAAAAATATTGAATTGTCAATGATTAAGTTATTTTACAACATTTAACATATGCTTTAGAATATCTATTGTGGTTGTATCATCAGAAATCAAAATTAAACCATTTGCATAAGAATTGGTAAAACATACACCTGAACAATAATATTCAAAGAAAAATGTTCTGAGATGCTTCAGGAAAAAATCTAGCATGGCTTCCTCTTGGAAACAGTAATTTGGTTAAATACAATTAATGACAATCATAAAAGATTTCAGATGACTATGTATGACTCACCTTTGCAAATAATCTACATGAGCACTCAGTGACAGGCTACATTAAGCAATGGACTACCACTGAAGAGACATTAAACAATATAGCAAATCCATATTAAGAGAGACAGTTCATAAAGACTTGTAATCTGAGAATCTATCTCCTTTTAAATTATGATCTAAAAGTCCTATAGCAAATTATGCAAGGTGAAAGGTATACCTAGAAAAACATATTCTTATCCAGGATAATTACTAAAAAATAGATTAAATATTTGGAAGCGTGCATAGAGATTTACCAATACTCTTTGGAGATAGCCTGCTGTGATGAATAAGAATTGGAGTCCTACAGTCAATTACCCAAACTTAGAATAATAGCACCTAACTTAGAGAGTTGTCAGAATTAAATAGCCAAGTAGGACCCACCTTGGTTAAGGTGCAGCACTATGAAGCTATCTACGACCACTGCAGCTGAAGTTCGATCCCCGGCCTAGGAAGAGATCCACATGGTGTGGCAGACCTCTCCTGACCGACCTGCTGCTCCCCTCAGCAGTGTTTCAATAGATCTGTCTGTTCTGCTCCCCACTCTGTCTATGGGGAATCCTTTTACCCCTCCCCTGTCCCTGTTCCTCTGGCCTATACTCCAGTTCTTGTATGCATAAATAAATACATCTTTTTTAAAAAAATGACTCAATATATAGAAGGTCAAGTACTTAGCTATAAGTACTTAGTGCAAAACATATCCTTAAAACTGCTTATAGTTTTAAAGTAATTATTATAATGTGTATTATAATGTATACATTACATGCATGGGGAGTTTAAAACTGGGAAATATGGAACAGTCCCATATAACTGGCCACCTTAGATTCCTAGAGACAAGGAATAAGTATCTAAAAATCATATTTATTTTACCACATTATTAAAAAATCTGCTTTTCATTACTTGTTTAAGATTGAGTTCAAAAGGCTATATGTCTCTAGAAACACTTAATAATAATGCTGGAGCACAAACTATACATTTTCCCCAACTACTTTGTTACTAGGATTGCACATGGCAAAAATACACCTCTCCCCCAAATTCAATCTAAGAATGAACATATTTTTCTTTTATTTGAAAAGGTAGATGAACAGGAAGGAATCTACCAGCTATGAATCATCATGTTTCTGAGTGTTAATACAGATTTTGCCTAAGTCTGGCTGAATCACTTTGCCTAAGTCCTCTAAGACTTGATGGCAAAGATTGGGCTGGAGAATGAAAGAGAACTGTATAAAGGATAAATATCAATGAACTAAATCTCATTTGTGAAGAGGTTCTCATGCTTCATAACTTCTACAAAGCAAAATTATAACTTGTCAACCTTGGAGGAATTAGTATTTACCAGAGATATTTTTATGCCAGACTTCATAAATGAAAATAGATGAAAATAGAGCTTGTTTTTTTTTTTTTTTTGAGTCAACAATCAACTTACTCCTGGTAGAATTCTGATATGTCTCACTATATTTGCAAAATATATCTATTCTAAACATGTCTTTGCAATAGTACATAAGCAGAGATTAATTCATAAAATAATTAGTAATAGTCTTAATCATTTTAATGGAGTATAACAACCAATAGAATATGCTTCTCTAATTAGAATTCTACATACTTAAGAAAAATTATAACAAACTAAAGTACTTAAATAACTGAAGCAAAGGGTAAAATATCAATAAATGAAAGATTCTCTTACCAGAATAAAATGATCCTAATATTTCCTTTCTTCCAGAATGCTCTTGCAGACTTTGCCCAGTCGGGATAGGGTTTGTCCTGAAGCATCATATCAGTGACCTGAGCAAAGAAAGGACCTAATTTAGTGCTTTCTAAAATGGTATAAATATATGTATATGTGTACATATATATATGTGTTTGTGTCTGTGTGTGTATACGTATATATGTATATATGTACATATATATATAATTCCTATTTTATTGAGAATCAAATAGGTGTGCACTGAAACATTAGAATATATGCAAAAGTGTATTCCTTCAGTTAAAAACTTTAAAGGCTCATTTGGCTTTCATAATAAATGAGCCTCTTTAAGTTCAGATATTGAAACTTTTTTAAATATCAATGATGTTTCTTTCTTTTTTAAAAAATATTTATTTATTTATTCACTACAGAACTGGGGTACAAGCCAGAGGTTCAGGGGCTGTGAGAGGCTTCACTAGAGACAGAGTGGGGAGCAGAACAGGCCAATTGATGAAGAACACTGCTGAGGGGAGCAGTGGGTAGGTCAGGAGAGGTCTGCTGCACCATGTGGTCACCTCTGGGGCGGGGAGCTAACTCATGCTGAAGTGGCTTTAGCTTTTTAGTGCTGTGCTTTAATCCGCTGCGCCACAAGGGAGGGCCAAATATCAATGATGTTTCTTTTATAAAAAGAGGAAGATACTAATCTCTCCATAGAAACAAAGTACCTATAATAACTAAAACCCATATTTTAAAAATAGTTTCAGAAATCCCAAATTCAAGCACTTCTTGGTAGGTCTAAATATTTACCTATAGCAATAGCTAAAGTATTACCACATATTCTCTCCTTTTTTTTCTTTCAATAATAATGAGATACAACACTGGAACCAAGTTTCATGGAAATTCAATCTAATTACCTACAATTTTCTCCTTGTCATTAGTAATTCTATCCATTCTTCTGAAAATATTCTATCTCTATCTCTCACATACATAGATGTTTACCATCTTCTGAGTCCGAAGTAAAGTCCTTTACCACTGCAATGAATTAATTGTCCCCCAACACAGCTCTCAATGATCCTTCCCTCTCATGTTACCTATCACTTTCTACTTTTTACCTTGGCTTATTTATATTCAGTTTTTCCCTCTGCTAGGTTATAAAATCTTGAAGGTGAATGAACATCTATCTTTGTACTCTTGCCAAAACCTGAGGATTTTTTTATAGAGAATCATTTAAAATATTTGCTCAAGTAAAAAATGATGAAATGAATTAGGATATCCAAGTTCATTTTTAAAGATACATTAATAAAGCAAATTCTCCATCAGTCACATCACCTATTAGTAGTTTCAGTGAAAGTCCAAAGTCTCATAAATAGACAATCTGTTATAAGCCATTTAAAAACATATGATGGGAATGGGGAGTAAATTTCATTCTTTCTCATAATAAAGGAGTATGTTTGTAGATGTATATACAAGACACACACATTCTTTCAAACACACAATTTCCTTTCCCCAGAAAATCTACCTTATCTTCAAGAGAAGAGAACATTATTTCTTTAATACTTTTTAATTCAAATAAGGCAAATTCAAAATTAAGAAAATTGCTATAAAATATATTATCTTGCATCCAGTAAGGAAGAATTTTCACTCTTTATCTATTAAAATGTACTTTCCTCTTGCCCTGAAAGCTTTTAAAACTGTGTTTACGTATAATTTCTAACACTAACCTGGCTAGATTTGCCGAGTTTTAATCATCTATGATGAAAGACTATGATTCATTCAGTAGGCATTCTTTCTAAGCTAGAGACCCCCTCAATAATACTGAACTTCCTACAAAAGGCGTATCACTTCTCAAGCTGGCTGATCTTGTTGAGTTACAAGAAGTGGTCTCTGGAAACTTTCGATGGGATATCAAGGCTCTACACACTAAAATAAGATACAATTAGAAGAGTGGGGAAGGAATCCAGTCTGCAGAAAATAATTTATCTTAATTCTTTCTATGCTTTCTCAACATCATTTCTAGGTAGAGAACTTTCAAGCTTGACATATTTGATGAGAGTCAAAGAAAATTCATTCACTATCAGTGAGTAACCCTGAAGATTTACACCATCTCTAATTTAGGTTTTACAACTAAAAAAAAAAAAAGTAGCAACGATAAGTCATTTAATATAAACTCTTGATTTTTTTAAACTGTTAATTACTTTGATAAATATTTTTAAACTGCTAATTACTTTGATAAATATGGAAGCAACTAATATTAATCCAAAAAGGAATTAAGTTTGTTTTACTCAGTTTTGAGAGGAAACTTGTTTATTGATGATTTTCTTATCTATTTATTTTCTCTTGCCAGTTTAAAATCACAAGATTTCATTTTCTCAGTCAGACTAATGCCCATACTAATCACAACAGACTCATGATACATATCAAAATGCACAAAAGGAAGATGACAGAATAAAAATTAATAATGAATCAAGTGAGCTACATTGCTACCAAAAAATGAATAAAGAAAAAGTAAAGACATTAAAATCCATAAAAAGATTTATATCATAAATTCCCTTGAAGAAAAATTACTGTTCTTCTAAATACCACAATTTCATCCACTATTCCTTCATACCATTCTTGAATAACACTTATGTGTCAAATTTTATTTTTATAAAACTTCAATTTAAGTCAATAGACATTCAAATATTTCATGTTCTCTCAGCTCTCTTAAAAAGATTTAATTAATTCTGCTCAAAAACAGTTATGTAGTTTCAAAAAAAAAGTCTGTGTGATAAATATTTTCAAGGAACAAAATGATTACTGGGTGGATTTTATTCAATTTTCAATGTTTTCTCCAGGGAACTTTCTGGGAAATACTTATTATATTTTCTGGTAGAAGGCAATCTGCCGTTATATGACCAATTATTACAGCAGCATGTTTTACAAAAATGACATTCAATTCAAGCAGAAAGGATTTTTCCCAGGAAAATGGTCAGATACCACAAAACAAAAAATTTTCTTCCGATGCCAGACATTTGCCCTTTTTCACCCCTTGTTTCAACTTTTTATTTTAAGTCATGACATCAGATCAATGTCAGGTCACTTGCAGTTAAATTGTCAGGTGCAAAAACAGTCATTAAAGGAGTGCATTCAATAAAGAAAAATCCAATTACCAGCTGAGTTAGAGAAATCAAATTTATTTCTGGTATTGGTCAAGGACAGTTTTTGTGGGAAAATGTATAGAAAAGGGAGGAGAGATGATGATGTAAAAAGGTTGCTTTGCAGCCGAAATATAATACCAAACCTGTTGATGCATTCCCCAAAGGAAGAATATGAGAATTTGAAATTGAGATCCTGCATTCTGAACAGGGGGAAATTTAACTCTTTGGGTCTCAAATTCATTCCCTTCTATTTTACACTCCAGTAGGCCTCTGCACAAAACTCAGAAATTCATCAGGGTCCTTAATACATATCTTGTGAGATAGTCTCTCTCAACAGAATATAAGCCAATTTATGCCACATGTATTGGACAATCTGAGCAAGGACATTTAGGTCGAGATCAAAAAGTCAGTAGATGATGTAAAAGCAATAGATTCCTGGTGACCCTGATCTCAGCACTATCACTGCTATGGCCTGAGTTCAATCCCTGGCCAGAAGCTGACTCATGGCACAGCAGATCTCTCCTGTCTCTCCTGCTGTTCAGTTAGGCAGTGATATTCAGTAGCTCTGCCTGTTCTGTACCCCACTAGCCTAAACCCCAATTTTTCTATGTGAAAAAAAGGATAAAAAAAGACAGCCATTATTTAGTGAAGCACATTTAAGAGAAACTATCCTGTTAATAAACAAGCACATATATTAAGGATATTAATGATGCAGACAGATAATTTTCTTTACATGCTAGCATATTATTTTGCAACTTCTTTTCTAGTTAGCAAAATGTTTTAAAAATCATTCTATACCTATACTTATAAAGCTGCTTAGATAGTTTCTCCTCATTTTTGTTATCTACCATACCTTTCTCATGGGCATTATTTTGAAATATAAAAGGTTTATATTACTTTTATAATTAAACTTCATGTAATATGTGTTTGCTACTTCTTTAAATTTTATTACTCCTTCTTATGAGTAAACTCATTTTGCTTCTTCTCCTTCTGTCTACCACCCTGTTGTACTTTTCTTATATTACTTTTCTTATTAACTTTTGACTCTTTTAATATCCTACTCCTATTTTTTAATCATCCTTCAATAATATCATCTTTTTACATTTACAAAAGATGGGGGAAATTAGAATAATATTCTATTATGCCACATATCACTTCTGTGTTGTTAGGATTTGGGAATATTTCTCATTCTCATTTAAAATCATATGCTATACATTTCTTCTAAACTCAATCCTAAAATAAAGTGGACTCAGCGATCTTTTCCAGTAGTACTTCTAGAGTTTTGACTTTATGTCCAACACCCATATTTTACTCTGCAGTACAATCTCCAGGAAGATTCATGAGAACAAGATAGGCTACCAATTGAAACAATCAACCAGCTCAGCAAAGTGGCAAGTGATAAAATCAACATAAAAGTTGCCTTTCTGTATATAGACAATGAGGCAGAACTGGAAAACATTTTTAAAATTATGCCATTCATAATCATATCAGAAAAGTTAAATACCCAGGAGGTGTTTACAAGGTTAAAATGAAAAAGGAGGAGACCTATACAAAGAAAACTATAAGGCAATGTTAAAAAAAAGTAGAAGACACAAAGCAATGGACAGATATCCCTTGCTAGTGGGTTGAAAGGCTCAACACAGAAGAGACAGCCACACTACCCAAAGCAATATACAGGTTCAACGACATCTATACTAAAATGTCATGTCATGCTTTCAAGAAATAAGAACAGAAACTGAAATTCATATGGAAACGCAAAAGAACACAAAAAGTCAAAGGAATTCTGTCAAAAAAAAAAGGAATCTATAGGGTTAAAAAAAAGTCTATAGCATAGACTTCATTTATCCTATAAAGCACTAATAATTAAAACAGAAGAGTACCTGAAAAAAAAAAAAAAACACACACACACACAGAACAATGGACAATCGAGAACCCAGAAATAAACTCACACTGATATGGGA